GTAGCGTTCAGGGGCCCTTAAAGGCAGACATGGCAGGACATGGATGTAGACCCGCAGCGACCTGCTCCGGCCATGTAATGTAATGTAATGCGCGTGCTGCCAGCCAAAATGAAGAAAATGAAGCCTCCGCCTGGACCCGAAATGGCTATGGGCGGTTGGCATGAGTCAGGGGTTGAAGGTTGGGGGAGCGGGGTAAGAGGTGTGATGAGCAACATTGGCAACAAAAGCTGAAAGTGGCGCGCGCTCTCAGCAAAGTAAAAAAAATATTTGTGTAGACAGAGCGAGGTGCACAAAGAGCGTAAAAGAGACAAACAGAGGGCCTATTGATGGGGTCAAAGTTTGGCGAGGTCAGTGAGTCAGGGAGTGCACTCTGCGTGTGTGTGTGTGTGTGTGTGTATAAATGCGTGTGCTCAACACGTTCAATATTTTATGGTGTCGCTTACAGGCATCGAATGGCCAAATAGACAGCAAAGAACTGTGCCTCGAAGGCTGGGATGGAAAGGCAGGCGGGGAATTGGTAGATGTCAGGGGTAAGTTGAGGCCAAATTCGTGCGGCCGCTCAAATAACGCAGCTTTCGAAATTAATATAGCAAAAGGGCCGCAACAAAGTGCAGCCCTAGAAAGTGTGGCCTAAATTCAACTATAGGCTCTAAGGGAGCGCCAAACCCACAGCTGCCCGCAATCAGGCAAAAGCGGCGCAGGTGCGGCACTGGGAGAGGACGAGGGGCAGGCCGTTGGTCAATTGAAACGGTTCAAAGACTGTTTGCCCTCTGAGCAATTTGCCCCTGCCACGTATCGTTTGCCAACTCCTTCTATTTTTATTGACGCGGCCATATAAATTTCACTCTGGCAAATGGTTTTTATTGGCACCAGCGACTGGCACCACACCACAGGCATATTTCTAGGCCCAGGCAGCGGGCAAGGGCTCAGCCACAGCTTCTGCCACATAGCGCCAAGTTCAATTGCCACCAATTGCTGCACGACCGCCGGCACGGCTCAAAAAGGTTAAATTTGGAAATTGGTACGTGATTGGATTCAAAGCGCAAAATAAGTGCGTCAGTTGGTTGCTTGGAGGTCGCCCATTTCACTTATGAAATGAAAAAACAACAAAAAAACAAAAAAGAAATCAAAAACAAAATGAAAATAACAAGCAAGAAAATCAATCCATCTAAAGGCATACAGCATACAGAATACTCTGTTTTCTTCACATTCCTCTTTGTATGGTATATAAAAAAATACATTTTCCTTTATAACACCATGTTTTTATCCAGGGTTCCTTTTATGATATTTATTCAATTTTTGCCTATGATCATTTTTAAGGATTTTTACCAACACTTTACTGAGTTATATACATAGAAATTATTACTAAAATAATTATGAAATCAAAATAAAGATTCTTTTCCAATTAAATCTGGAGGTGAATGATTGCTGTATAGTTTATTATTCCCTCCTCGCTAGAACTAAGAATAATTTAAGATTTAAGAACAATATTTCCGGGTTAAGAAACCACGTTTGGCAAATTTCGTGAATGCTTATGAAAAGGGTATTACCTACTTGCATATCAAGCATAGCGAAAGGGTAACTTATGCGGGGCAGTGGGTGTGTTTGGTTCATAGCTCTGTGTGAGAAGAGAATTGTAGCATATTTTTTTGGCACGCCGGTTGCTCGATTTGTAATAAGAAATGTGTTTTTTATTTTGTGGTTTGAAAAATTAGAACTTTTGCCAACAGCAAACAGCAAAACGATGGCGAGCTCATGGCAACTACCCAAAAATCACACACACACACACACATATATATATATAAGAACAGTAAAAAATACACAGAGATTCACATTTATATGTATGTATGAGTATGGATATGTTTGTGCTTGGGCCAGCATAGTTTGTGGTTGATGGCCTAGCCATAAAACGTCCATTTGTTTTTGGCCAACAGAAATAAAAAGAGAAGCGCACAACCAAATCCAAAGTCAGCTAATAACTGGGCAATGGCCCTGACAGCGGCATTGTGTCAACATATTTGCCAATCATCTGAAGTTACCAGCGGCTGTCAACATTACGTATGAGTAATATGTCAGCGTAGATTCCGAATGATGCAAATTTCGTATAGTTAAGCAGATTTGCACAGCGCCAAATTTATGTGGCACTATCGGCTATTACCCGGCTTTGCCCATTTAGATTTTCTTATTTTAGCTTTCCACATAGCGGAGTGGATTTTCTGAAATCGGTAAATCACGTCTAAAATGTTTTTACATGAATGATGTTGGTTATCTGCCCAGAATGAGGGGACGCGGGAGTAGTAGAATGAAATTGGAAGGTTCTTTCAGTGTGCATTTCCATCACAAGGGGTAACTTTCATATCTCCAATTGATTGAATTAGTGGAATTGTTGGAACTCTTAACCATCTCTGAGAAGTTATGTAAAACGTGGCCCCGTAAATGCAGCCGAAACGTTCTGTACGCCGTTCTGGGTTTCCTCAAAAGGAAAGTAAAGTAGAAAGTAGCGCTACCGAAGCTTGAAAGGGATGAAAGGTCAAAAGTGCGGCGGTAAAAATGCTGTTTGACATGGTGTCAGTCGCCCTAAACAGCTTATTGGCCCCTGCATAAATTTAGAGACCACCGGCTCCTTTAAAACCGAATTAAGGCGATTACTAGCTGTTAAGCTTGTTCTACGTGATTATCCGAGGCTTACTTTGAAGCAGAATGGCTCCCCTGATCCCCACTTGTGACCTTATGGTGCGTTTGCACTCACCCCGTGGGTTGTATGCCCCAACAAATTCGCAGTGCAAAACTCCTTAATCTAATAACAATAATAAAAATCCATAACTATTTGTTATGCCAAATTGTTTGACACATTGTTGACCAAAATTGGACCGCAATTTTGATAAGATTTATTCTGATAAAATTCATTAGCAATTATGAGTGGCCGCCAATTGCTATCGACGCTTTGACAACATTTTTGTTATTTTTAATTAAAAAGTCATCACAATATTTTTGCTGTCATTATTTCAATATATGTATGAATGTGGACAACTCTGAATACGCCCTATCTACACATACATCATGCATGTAACATATTATTTTTTGTATGTGCCTGCGGGCATTTGACAATTTGCAGATTTTGTTGTTGCTTTTCTTAACCGCGGCTTCCATAATTTATATACCCCGTACATTTTACGTAGGGGTCGGACCTGCCTTAGACAATTGAAATTCTCAATGAATGTTCTTGATATCAAGCTGCTAATTTCGTTAGAAGCTACAGGGACAAAACGCCTGATTGCTGGATATTTCATAGTTGAACACTTATTTGTTGTTTTTTTTTTTTTTTTTTTTTTTTTTTTTTTGATTTTTTGTAGCTGATATCACAATTAATTGTCGTTTATTATGCGGCTCGAAAAATGTTTGGTTCCTGCATAAATTATGATACCCATTTAAAAACACACAACAAATTGTGTAGGCATATGTTTTTACGAAATGTTTTCCTTTTTAGGCTGTTTTTAATCACATAATTGACCCTAATTAGATGCGCAAATTAAATGAAAGTGAGCAAATTGAGCAAATATGATGAAATAAAATAGAAAAGGGAAAAATAAACGAGTCCGTGTTGCACGTCAATTGACATTTGGCCATAACTTGTTAAATGCATTGAAGTGCAATTTTAAAGGCGAAAAAGGACACAGTGCTAGTATGTTGAAAACATGTATTTGCATTAATTCTAGTTATAATATTTCTTTTTAATTTTTTTTTTATTTTTTTATTTTAAACAGTTATTCAGGTTTGGTATCTTGAGTGACGCCTTGAACTGTTGTGTAAATTGAGTCATGACGAAGGTTATGCCAAATGGCTTTGAAAAATCTTTTCGAGCGGTCATGTTGCAGCTTTGAAAATAGGAGCTGAGTTCCTCAGTAACCACAGCCATCAGGTTAACTGTCCAGATACCCAAATTGACTGGTGTTGGACTAGACTTAAAGCTTTTTGCTTTGCTTTTTGTGGTACGAGATGTCTGTCTGCCTTAATGACAGCCTGGCTGTCGACATATATTGATACGTATTTTCAACAAGGTACTTACCTTCAAAGTATTAACTTTTTGCCTTAAACAATTTTCGGTTATAATAAATATATAAGGTATAATTTCGGCAAAACTCGCGCTTAAATAAATTTGAAGTAAAGGAATAGGTAGTAATGGAGCGAGAGAGGAAGGGAGAAGAATGTTTGGCGTAGCTGGCACTTGAAGTGTGCCTTCATTCAAAGTTCCTTGAGGCGCTTCTATAAAACATCATTAAATCAGCGCAAGAGTTCACAAATGCATTTCATTTCAAAATCATGACCTGGCTAGCAGTAACTGATAGCTGGTAACTGTTAACCGGTAACTGCAACAGCACCACCACCACCGCCAACAACAACAACAACAAACTCAACAAGAACAGCTTGCCACTCGGAGCATTACAAATTACAAGTTGCTGTCTGACAGAGAAGCGTAGCTCCCAAAGCCTTGTGAACTACAAAAAGCAGCCTGCAAAACTTTGACGAGTGCAAGGGAAGCGCATAAAAAATCAGCTAGTAAATGGGTGGGTGGTGGCTACAAAGGCGGCAGAGAGGAGGGGCTATGGGCGTACGCGGGCAACAATTGCAATCTGTGGCGCTTCAACAACGCTTAATGTTGCCTACAACCGCAGTGCCAGCCATTTATCATTCACCCGAGCCGAAACGGGGCGCTAGGCGCAGGCGGATGCAGGGGCCAGCTGACGAGCTGACAGACTGACGGACTGGGGGATTGACGTGCGACAGACTGACAGAAGCCGTACAATAAAATGGCAGCAAAAAAACCAAATTGACCTTACGAAACTGTATCAGAGGCACCAGAGCTAGGAATACGATTGAACCTGATCTATGCTCTGAGCAGGTAAATCAAATTGCTTAGGAGCTGGAATAGTTGTTTTTTTTTCTTCTACAAATTTCCCTTTTATAAATTGCACACTTGTGGGAGCATTTGCTTGACTTACCTAAAGCGAGAATGCAATTTGTCCGCTGTCTTCAAATGCTGGCCTGAAACGAGACGAGAATCAAGTAGAACAAATATAATTAGCTGCTTATTATGCTTGGTGAAATATGGAAATAAGCATGAATAACACTTGTTTACTTGTAAATGTCAAGCCAACTGTCTTTAAATAAAAATGTATGCTATTTTTGATTAAAAACAATAAACATTGATACAAAAAAAAACACTATCTTATGACTGTGCAGGCAGAACACACTTTGGACTAACCTTCTAGTGTTGTTCAACAATGGATGGCGATAAAAGTGGTATCGATAACAACGATACCAAAGGTATCGATAGCAACGATAATGATATCATAGGTAAATTTTAATAAAGCGTCGATTATAGCTATCGATAGCTTTTTATCGATACATTACTAACACTATAACGATAACATTTTACAATATGTTTATTTTTGGAAATTTTAAAAGAATGCTTGCCCAAACTTATTTTTCAAAAACACTATAACCAAGCTGTGAAATTTAAATTGTATTAACCCGCCCCAATCATCTAATATTATCGATAACATTGATTGATTATCAAAAGAGCCATAATTGTGGGGGAATCTGCCGGCAATCGCTAGATCGAATTGCTATTATGAGCCTGCAGCGTTAAGCGGCTTTTAAATTCAGACTTTACCAACATTTAATAAAAGAATATGTAAGGCCAGGGTCCTATGAACCTTGAGGCATTTAATTAGAAACGGAGCAGAGTTGTGCATTAAAAAGCTGATTGCAATGAAAGAATGTTGATATTCCTCCTCATTTCTTACTCTGTTGAAGCTAAATAGAAAGAGCACAAAGCAGACATTGCATAAAGGAGAAATGCTCGTACACTGAATGGCAAGTAAAGCTTGTTTCTTGCCCTTGCCAAGGGTTAACAGAAAACAAAAATAATCAAGTATTTAGCTTTGAAGTAAGCGTGAATTAAAGAGTGGCTAAAACTGTTATCGGGTCAAAATGATTCATGAAGACTATTATTTGTAGTGTTTATTCATCATCCAAAAAATATTGTCAGATACTTAACAGCTTTTGAATTGGCTAAAATATCATAATTAAAAAATAAAACCATGAACTTAATCACATAAACTTAAACTTTGAAAATTATTTTAATATATTTAAAATCAGGCAGTGCATTCACATTGCATTTAAGCTTTCAATTCTTTATAGAATCTGCATCAGATTTGACCCGGTTTAAATTGACCCGTTAATACTTAAACAAAAGCAGAAACATGAAATAAGTGAAGGGACTGTCAAATAGCAAACAGCTTTTGTGGCAATTTAATTTGTTTTGAGCATTCGGTATTGATGGCTACTGCCCCTAAGGACAGTGCGTATGTGTGTGTGCTTCGGATGTGCAGCATGCAATTTACTGATTAATTTAAGCGGTCTAGTAATGCATAAATTAATGTTTAATAACAGTTGCGGGCTGCCAACTTTCCTGTAGGCCGCATCGACAATGGCCTGCCAGCTGGCGGGCATTCTGTATAATGAATGTGGCATCAACCCACACACACACACATACCCACACACACACACACACACACACACACACACACACACACACACACATACACACTAACATTGGCTCCAATTTAGTTAGATGACCATATCAATATGCTTGTGGATTTGAAATTATTTGACAGAACGCTACACTAAAATATATATATCTATGGCCATCCGTTAGAATTTTAGAACTGCGCACGTATTGGCCTTTTTATTCCCTGAAACCCAAAAAGGGCTAACAAACTGTATAATGCTTGAAACCTGCCTAATCCATTGTTGCATAAAATACTAATTCTTATTTTTCGGAGTGCCAATAAAATTATGATTAAAGGTAGATATAATATGATTAACATAGAAACTAGTAAAAAAGTTAAAACAGTGGGCAGTATCTGGCCGAGTATATCTTATAACGCTTTTAATCGATTTTGGATCTTCCCTAAAATACTCAGGCTGGATTTCCCAATTTTTACAATTACCATCGAGCTTTACACACATGTAAAACATTTGTCATATGAAAACTAAAATGAAGTTATGGAAGCAAATGGAAGCACGAGATACTGCAGACCTGATTTCAGAGCATATGCAAGTCAACAACTCTCGTTTAGAGAACTTTGCACTTGTGCTCTTATCGGTTGGGGTGTTAAATCATTTAGCTAGGGGCTAGCTATAAAGCCATCTGAAACAGCAGCATTACGATCCATGGCAGTTGTTTGGCTGCTCAATTGTTGCTGTTACTGGCTAATTTGCTGCCAATACACTTTCAGTTGTTTTATTTACGAGCTTGTTTGAAATTACAACTGTTTGCCCAAGGTTTGCCCCAGACTATCAGTCTTTGCACTTGTGAGGCATTGCTTTATGAATAACATAGCATCCTCGCACACACATAGATCCACTCTCACACCCGCATACGGATGATATGTGCTAATTGTGTTGGAATTGTAAATAGATTGATGTTTGAAAACGATATTTGGCCCATGACCAATTTACGAGATGTGACCAAATGTGAGAGTAGGCAAAATGAGTGCACAAATTAAATTGGCTTTGATATGAATGGGCACAATAATTACACAAATGGCAAATGGCTGTTGCACTTTAGATTCCACCCTGATTTTCAGAACATGCTAGTTGAGATTTGGCTTTATTGACTTTGGGTCACTTAACTTGAGACAATTTTTAACTAAATGGCATTGCGACAAATTATCTAGCTTATCGAGAATGCAGAGAATGCAGCAACCGGAGAGGGAAAAGTGAGATAGAGAGGTAAAAGTAAGAGGCTCTAGTCGGGAGCTCCCGAATATAAAAAAATATCCGGAACCCTCTTATTCCAACACCAAATGCATTTCGCTCCTTTGAAGTAATAAAGATAAATTACAAAAAGAAAGTTCCCTTGGCAGGGCTCGGACTCGCAACTGACCGCATTACTTGCAGCCGACACTACTCAACAGCCACACCCGCTAAAAAAAAAAAATAGTTTCCCCGGTAGTGCTCGAGCTTACCACTTACCATAGCCTCCACTCAACAGCCAAACCAATCATAAAGTCGTAATGAGAAAAAACGAATTAAAATAGCAAAACAAAGAACAATACAATCGCAATTGTAATGCTGTTAATAGAATTCGAAGCAGACGCGCATGAATGTGTGTGTACATGTATACTGAAATTCTTTCAATGCGCTAGCTGCCGCAAACACGAGGGATGTCATCTTATTGTACCATAGAATATATGTGTATTCTCAAAAAGTCAATTTAATCAAAATTGTGGCTTAAATTGGTGGGCAATATAACTTGATTTATAGTTCTGCGGTGGCGGTGACGATAGGTATAAAAGGAAAGATACTTGATATATATATACTATTGTAGAATAAACATATCAAGTTTCGTGACTCTAGCTCTTAATTTTTACCAAAATTGCTCGAAAAACCGGATGTCGATATCGATTTGTATCGATTCTTTGGAAACGGAGTAAGTTAACGATTGTCTGAAACAAACGCGATCTGCGCAGGCACTAGGAGCACCTACAGCTAAAATTTCAGTCTCTAGCTCTTATAGGTTCTGATAGCCTTGGGTTCATACATACGGACATATGGACAGATAGATAGACGGACCAATTCGGCTATTGATTTTGATCAAGAATATATATACTTTATGGAATCGGAGATGCTTCCTTCTGCTGGTTACATACATTTGCACAAATACATAATACCCTTTTTACACATTTTCAATGGATTCAGGGTATAAAAAATATATATATATATAAGGCACATACTTGGATGTACACATATACTGAAAGTGCAATTGAAAAACTACAAAAAAAAATAAATGAAAAAAATGGTCAATTAATTCTAATAAAATGTCATTTTAATTGAAATTGTGCTACATGTTGTAGTTTTTGATTTTATTGTGTCTGATGGTGTGTGGTGTCAGATTGCGGGTTCAGTTTGTCCTCATCGGATTTCAAATGGGCGACTTAATTAATTAATATCAACACTTGAGCTGTTTTATTTGCTCTGACACTTTTCATCTGTTCAATGATATCATTTCTAGGGGTAATTTTCTGCTATTTAAGTTGTTGTTATACTTGCTTTATTTATTTGCTATGTGATTGTAATTTATTGGTCATAGTCGCATTTGTTGGCACTTAAATTCTTAACTGGCAAAATAAATAAATAAGACCAAAATTCGGTGTCCCATAACGAACATTAACAGTCCTCAATGGAGCTTTAACGAAAGATTTAAAAATGTAGTATGATTTTGGGCATAAGCTCATGGTGGCACGCTTTCTCGATCTAAACGAATCTGTATAAACTGTTTGTTTTTATTGTAAAAAAAAAAGAAATCCGCAAACCAGACATGATACAATATTAGTAGTTGTGATTATGTAGAAAATCATATTTTATTTAAGAGATAAACTGGTTATCATGAAATTGTGCGAATACCTGGAAATATAATAATAAAATGTATATATTCCAATTAAATTAACACTCTGTTATAAGCTGTCTCTTATTTACCCAAGCTAACAGTGAATTGCTTGCGGAATTGACACCTTAGATTTTTAAAGCCTACCGCATAGGGCGGACACAACAAATGTGATGCTAATGACAGCCTGGCATTAAACTTATACACACACCACTCACACACAAATGGACAAAACACAGTTGGAAGCCCAGAAACCTTGGCACCCAAATCCCAATAACCCAAAGCTATCCGCCTGCCACCCTTCCACATGCCAATGGAAATTGGAAATCCCTATCAAAAACCCAAAGTAAAAGCAAAAGCAAAGTCAAAATGAAAATGTCGCTGCAAAGTACACAATAAATTTGCATGCGACACACACATACACACACGCACATAAGCCCACACACACACATAAGTTTATGAATAGGAGTTGTTAGTACAATAACACACACACACGGCAAAGAGAGTGAATGAAAGTAAGAGAGATAGATATACACATGCATAATGCCTAATAATCCGCATATTGTAATATCTGTATTATATGGAAGCC